ATTAGTGAGATTCAGAAGTGTGTTGTTTGAACTTTGGACAGAGCCATCTAGCTGTCCCATCTGCTTTCAGTCTGTATGCTAAGCTAGGCTAATTGCCCCCTGGCTCCACGTTCTACCATCCAGTACAGTAGCAGATTCACAGTCAGCTTCAAATATGGACAGAAAAGCAGCAAAGCGAGAAAGAAAATCACATCTTTCAGAAAAACTGAACCCTCAGTAAGAAAAACGAAGTTAGAGGACATCTGAACCGGAGGCCCGACTTCAGCCGTCTATTTTCCGGATATTAAAAACTGTCTAATATTAGATATTGTCTAGTCATGCTTCACACAATGCAATGCAGTTTGATTATACACTGTGGAGTTGCATATGTATGGACATGTCGTAACTGTGACGGTATATGGATGTTGAGTATTAGTGTCATGGTCTACATTTCTATGGGAAAACCTTAATATTTTCAACACCTTTACTGTAGTTTTTAATTGAATTCTATTCATTGACTTTGTATTGTAACAGTAGTATTTAACAGAGGGAAAAACACACCTGGCATTAGAGGACTGACACTCTGACATGTAGTGCTTTATCTTGCAAAATAGTTTCAGTATTCAAACTTCTGCAGATCCGTGTGATCCCTCTGGAAATACCAGGATTATATAATATATAATAGTTTCCTGCAGAACAGGCCAGAGCTGCAAAGAGGAGGCTGGTGGACACGCAGCTTTGTAAAGTTCATTAATTAAGATGCTCACCAGTTCCACAGGCTCTTTCCAATGCGTGCACAGTGAAGGGTGGGTTGGGGCTAGGGTCACACACCTGTACAGCCAGGTGTGACTGACCACACATTAGGTAGGAAAAATGGAATGAAAGACAAAAAATACAAAAAAAAAAAAAAAAAGAACAATCAGACAACTTGCCCACGCTTCAGAGTGGAGCAGAATTCAAACTCTGCACACCCTAACTAAAAAAGAAAAAGAAAAGAAAAGTTAAAGAAAAATATTTTCAAAAGCACAACATTAAGTTTTTTTTTTTTTATATCCTACATCCAGCTCAATAGCGACATTAATAGTTCAACAAGATCAATATATTTTTATAATCATTTTAAGGTACCTCTTATATTTTTCTGAGTATTTACAACTGTACAAGCAAAGCACACACTTCAAAGTGCACATATTTAATACAGTATTGACTAGTTTTGCATTTACAAGGTTTATATTTTTCCCCAAAAAAACCAAAGAAAGAAAAAAAAAAACTAAAACTATTTAACAACAAAAAAGGAACAAAATGATTTTTTTCGTACATTTTACAAAAACAAAAAAAAGCAAAAAGAAAGACAATGCTGCTGCAGATTTGTACTCTCTCTCTCTCTCTCTCTCTCTATCTCTCTCTCTCTGTAAGACTTGTGACGTCTAGTACGACTAAATATTTTCCACATGTCACGCTTTGTTAACATTTTGGGGATTTTTTTTTTGAAAAGAAATAAACTATGCTTGTCTTGTATAAAAGTTAAGGCAAAGTCATTTTTCAAGTTTAAATAAAATTCAAGTTTCTCAAACACTGGATGGAAATTTTTTTTTTTTTTTTTTTTTACATTTTGCGTGTATATATAGAGACCTCGAAGCATCTCTATTTTTTTTTTCTTCTCCCTAAAAAGAAAACCTAACTATATTTCTCATGGAATAAACAGCACTGGTTTATAAGTAAGTGGATATGGTGCATTTTCATCTTTTACCATTTCCACCGATGAGAAAAAAAAAAAAAAAAAAATGAAAATAATAAATCAACCCATCCAAGTGCATCTCAGTCCTTCAAAGAAAAAAATATATATTTTTAGCAAACTCAAGATTTAGCATCCAAATCAAAAGCAGCTTTGAGCGGGAGTACAGGCTTTTTAATGAAGCTTTCCCTTCTGCAGATGGGCTCCTGTTTTCTCTTAGTGGGATTACCCAGAATGCTTCTTGTTGCAGGAAGACTTTGGCGAGACATGTGAGGTCCCACGTCGTGTAGGTTTGTTTCCCGCCTAAACAGATACCGTGTATAGTACAGTGGTTTTTTTTTTCTTTTTCAAGGGTTTTGCATCTGAGGTGACAACTTTAAAAGATTAACCTGAGCACACGGGTGATGAGCAGGGAGGGATACTTTATCACTTTGCTGTCATTTCAAATTTGTACACCAATCATTTTTAAGCATGTCATCAGCTGATTACATTTTTAATACAGTAAAACATCCAAGACTTGGTTGGTTATCTGCCGAAGGGGCTGCTACAGTAAACAGACGTACCAACCAAAGCAGAAGTTCAACAAGCTCGGACCAAGTTCGTCAACTTCCCTCCCTGAATTTGCTTTCTCGCTACTTCACTCTGATGTAGGAATCGAAAACCGCCAGCTCTCATCCAAAACTTTGCTCAATTATTTCAGGTTAAACTATTATTTAACCTGAATCTAGTGTTTACCTCTCCACCCTGGAACCACGCTGTGTGGGCTCATGGGGAGTAAAGGTGAAGTAAAAGGTTGTTTTCTGTGCTTTAAATTTAACTCCTGTCGGCTGCAGTTTATCCAAGAAAACAGGAGTGAAGTAGCAAGAAAGGCAGTGTGCTTTGGTCAATCTTCTCCAATTTCTTTTTTTTTCTTTTTTTTTTTTTAAAGAAATGGTTTTAAACTGAGGACAAATCAAAGTGTGCAAACTCGAAGGAGGAGAAACCACCGAGAGCACGCCGACTGAAGAACAGACAAAATAAAGAAAACAGACCAACAACCCTAGTGGTAAAGACTCGATGTCGAGGAAGAACATCATCACCCCGAGGATGGACGTGCCTGCTGTAAACCTACCTGCTCTCGTCTGCCATTTTTAAAGGATGTTTGGGTCATCACTGTCCGATATGAGCCCCCCAATGGGACTCCCAACCAACTACGTTCCAAAAAAACCACCCCCTCTCATCATATACCTTCATTGGTTAAGTTTCATAAAAAATACTCAACAGTCTCACTTTCCATAGTCATCACTTTATCAATCAAAACCCTCGATACAAAACCGGAGGCCGGAATCCAAACCTGTGCGAGAACCAAATCCTTCAGCAGAAATAAAAAGTTAAAATTAGCATAAGTAACAAGCCGACAACACCCGTCCTTTACCACGACAGTGTGTTCAACAGGAATCCACAAGGCAGAACGACAAAAACAAAAACAAAAGGCTTCAGCGACTGTGTCTACAGAGAAGGTGTCACAGGGTCCTTGAGTTTATTTGCTCCTGGAAAACTGAATTTGCATCATGTTTCATTCCTTGACTTTCAGGATCAATTCCCTTTTTTTTCTTTTTCTTTTTCTTTTTTTTGCTTCATCTAATAACATTTTGCTTGGAAGTCTGAGAAAACGCTAAGAGTGCAAATAAAGTTCTGCAGATGTAAATCAAGTATTTCTACATACAGTATCGGATGAGTTGTAGCAACAGATTCCAGGATTTGACGTCTAGCACCGTATCTATCAGAAAGAACTGGAGACATGCCACTGATGTGAACGAGAAACACCCCACTACAACTCTCCACTCATGCCCTTTTTTTTTTTTTTTGGTGCATTTCAGGCGGGAACAAGTCGGCCTACGCCTCCTCCTTCTAACAGTTAGTCACCCGTCACAGTGGTTATACTGACGAGGGTTTACTGCTTATCTGAACTGCAGCTAGTGTTAATTTCCTCCTCGCCTCCAGAGCGAACCAATCTGCTTCAGACGAGGTCGGTCAGACTAAAAACTTGCCCTGTGTTTTCCTTGGACAGTATGTGCCTGCTGATACGTTTTATTCCACAGTTTTTTAACAGGAAACGAGGCGAGATAAGAGAGCGCTGCAGCTGTGAGAGCCTGCTATGCTTTGCTTTTCCCAAGAATAAAATTCAATGCAAAGAAAATGTTGATTTCTTTACACATTTCCAAGAGTGATTGGAAAAACCCATCTTAACCCACTCCCAGACGTTTCCAGCGAACAAATAAATTTCGGCCAACAAGAGGCGCCTTGATTCCTAATTTGTCTTTAAACAAAGTTTTGGTTGCAGACGTCCAAATGCCCTTCCTGTGTGACGCTTAAAAAAAACAGCATTGGTGTCATATTGGCTGTTAGACACAAGCTATGCAACACAACTAGCTGGTTAGCGGTGTTAGCAAACGGTAAAAACAACACAACAGCAGAGGGAAGTGATGTTTTACGCGGCGGCGTTTACCAGCAGGAACTGTACCGACAGTCGACAACAGTCTGCAAACAAAGCTGAAAACATTTTCAATAAACAATCGCCATCTAGTGTAAATAAATCTGTCGGAAAGAAAAAAAACAAAAAAAAAAAACACTGAGTTGATGTAAACAAAAGAATCCCGAGTCTTGTGATGAGATTTAGATGTTAAGTTGCATATGGATGTGAATATGTATTTTTTTAAAAAACCACATCTTCCAATTATGAGCCGTAATTAAGCTACATAAAGTTGTGCCACTCCACATGCAAATAAACCCCTCACTTTGAGAGCCAAACAAGGTGGAGTCTGTTGTACGCACTCTTTCCCATCATCCACTGGGGTGGCTTCCAACAATGACCTGCTGCTTCGCACACAAGACTACTTTAATCCCACAAGGCCATTTGGACAGAATGAATAAACTTCAGTGTTGTCTGTGCCAACTGACAGGCTGACACAACTACGTAATGCAAAAAGAGAAAAGGAGAAATGAAACTGAAATTTTAAAATAAAATTAAAAAAAAAAAAAAAAAAAAAAAAAAAAAAAAAAAAAAAAAAAAAAAAAAGCAAATAAATAGAATAAAAAGAATGAAACGGTGCTCTACATGCACAGTAAAGTGCTTTTTGTCTGCAAGCCCTGATCAAGAAAAGAAGGCGTCCTCTATGCTTGTTTGTGACTGGTGATTCTGGGATATAAGTATTGAGTAGCCCTGACTTATATTTCCTTTTTTTAAACGCATCTGTGGAGCATAGTGGGAAGGGGGCTGGAGGACTCGGGGAAGGGGCAGGGAGTCTCCCTACTGTGGGGACTTGGGCGGGGTGTGATGGGGATCTTTGCTCTGGGTTTTCCCTGGGTGTGGGGGCGGGGAGGCCCACCGCCCGCCCGGCCTTCTGGCCTCCCTCGGGGGTCTGCCCGGAGTGACGGCCGCCGAGCCGGGTTTGGAGGAGGGGGGGTATGTCTCTCTGGCTTTGGCCTCCGCTGCTGGGGCGGGGGCATCGGGGCACTTCCTCTCCTCGCCTGCGGAGGGGGCAGCGCAGGCTGGCTTGGCTTCCTTGGGGGTCGGCGGTTGCTGTAATGTCGGGGCGTCCTTCACCCGCTGGCAGATCTCAGCATAGGAGGGCTTCCTCAGCTCCTGACAGGAAACAACAACAGAGTCGTAAAATATTCTGCACCCGTACAAGGCTCGTCTACTGGGTTCAACACGTTCACTATTTCTGCTGCCAACCTGGACATGTCAGCTATAAAAATGGGTTTTAATAAGTGATTTGAAAGAAGTCACTGACTGCCTTCTCTTGGGCAAGTCCTTCCAAAGTCAAGGCGTCCTGATGGCAAAAGCGTGGCCACCTTTCAATTTAAGCCTCAACTTTAGAACAACCAGAAGGGACCTGCCCGAGGATTTGACAACTCGACAATTATGTTAATTAGCTTGGGACGTAAAAGTGATCAGTAAAATCTTGAAATCACTTCTAAAACAGACAGGGAGCCAATGGAGGGAAGCGAGGATCGGGGTGATGTGATGTCATGTCATCTGTTAAAACCAGCAAGAAGTCAAGCTGCTGCATTTTGGTTCATCCCAGAGGATGGACTTACAGTCGTCCAGTCTTGAGAAACTTAAAGTTTGATTCTGGAGATGGTTCTTATTTGGAGGAAGCACAACACCTTCATCTATAAATATAGCAAGACTGGCAATTTTTCAGCCGGATGCCCGTTTCAATATTTTAGGTTTTATAAAAAATAAAAACAAAAATTGCTAACGATATATTGGCTGAAACTCTTTTTTTAAAAAGATGTTTGACAAGGATCCGTTAGAGTCAGTCACTGAAGAGACCAGACCAAGATATGTACTGAGCAGGACATTATGTAGCTGAAAAACAAGCTTGTTTCACTTCAAAAATGAAGATGAATGAAGAATGAAAACACACATAGTAGCATAGACTGAAAATGAAAATAATCTAATAAAAGCCTTTATAAAGCATTATGAAAATCAGCAAGTTGTAGCAGTGCAAGCAAATACTAAGGCTGAGACTAATGAAAACCCTTTTTAAAACCTAAAAACATGGCGGTTTTCTTGTTTGTGGAAGGTTGAACCTGGCAGCAGTGATTATTTCTTTGACCCACACTTGGTGTGTAGATAGTATTTAATTTGCTGTGTCCTGCATCATGTTTCACCATATCTTAAAAAGCCCTCTGGGAATTTCTGTTCACACCTGCAGATTTGTGCAGTCTCAGTCTTATCTCTATCATTGTGTTTCATCAGCTGCAGCTTTTCACACTTTGCTTGTGTTTTTGCTGCAATGTTAAAAAAACCAAAGCTGAGGGGAGTTGTTTTTTTGTTTTTTTTTTATCTTATTGGCAGAAGAAAATGGGAACAGGATAAAGTGCAATTCACAGAAACTTGCAGTTGTTGCATTTACATCTTTCGGACTGATGCCCGTCTGTTTATAAAACACATTTTTTTTTTTTTAGAGGTGTGAGTAATTGACTCGTCTGTAATCAAAATCAATACGAGACGCTGCAGAATTAAGGCAAGATTCATTTACCCCTGTTTTTGTTCATGCTGAGATCGATTCATCTGTGATTGAGATGTTTGAGAGGGGGTGGGCATTAAAAAGGGATTTGGTGAGGAGACTGAGGAAAAAAAAAAAATAAGGAAAAAGCAGGAATAGATACTGACTGTGGCAGCACCGTTGACTTGCACCGATTTGCTTGCAGTGGAGAGAGTGCCAGGGACTCGCTCCACGGACAACTGCACCTCCTTTGGCTTCACCTCCGCCACCTTCACCTCCCTGAAAGAAACAACAAACAGCGGACATGGACGTTAAAATAAGCTGTGAAGAGGCTTGTGAAAGCTACAGCTACATGCACATGTCAAAGGCCAGATGAAGATCTATGGTAGAATGCAACACTGCTCGGTTAAAACTGCTGGAAACTATAAGCCATGTGTGAGGATCTTTAGTTTGATTTTTGATCCTGAAGACTGTGGAAGTTTTTTTTTTTTTTTTTTTTTTTGGATGTGCTAATCTCATACAGGAAATCTGTCTGCCAGAGCAGTAACATGTGTGAGACCCTCCATGCAAGCACAGATAAGCAAGAGAATCAAGAGAAGTCTGTTGCAACTGTTGTGCAATTAATCGAATTTTATTTTCGATTACGATTTTGGCATCCAATAACTGTAATCATGCTCAGAAACCTTTAACTTATATTGTGTATAACAGGAATAACTACATAGACACAGCGCTTTTTGTTTTGAAATAATTTTTCTGTTTTTTCCAAAGTCAATGAGAAATCGAGCTGAATAATCGTGATCTCAATATTGGTCAAAATAATCGTGATTATGATTTTTGCCATAATCGAGCTGCCCTATGTCCTATAAGGGCACCACATGCCAAATATGATGCTCAGTAATGACTGCTGCAGAAGGGGTAGTCTATCTCAGGCTGTGTGTGGGAACTAGGGCTGAAAAATTAATCGAGATATTACCGAAAAATTCAATATGATCAAGTTCAATGCGATTTCCAAATCACAGGAGCTGCAATTTTTTTGATAAAGGTCAAAAGTCTAACAACAGATCATAAATGAAGCGTTGTGGTGCTACATGCTAGTTTGGTGTTATCATTTTTAGATTTTTTCCAATGAAAATGAAATGAAAAATGACTCGTATTACAATCAGAATATCAGCATGAATAATCACAATGTGATTTTTTTTTTTTTTTTTTTATCCTTCAGCCCCGGTGGGGACAGATTTATTTTTTTCTGCTGCGTTATGATACTCAAAGCAACAACCATCGACCTGCACATGCAGCTACAACAGAGAAGGCTCATGCTTCACTCTTGTTTTTGCTTGCAGCTATTTCTAAATTCTGGCCATGTCAGCGTAACTACCCGCAAACCAGACGCTGTCCACTGCTTCCTCCTCTACTGCCAACCTGGATTTCACTCCACATATTCTCAGAGCATGTAACATGAATAAAACCTCTGAATCACCTCGACAGTTCAGTGTGATCAGCGCTTCGGTTGACAAGAGCCACACAGCAGAGACTCTCGGCGGTGCGTTAGGAATCATTACTAAACAGTGACCAGGACACAAAGCTCTGTAGGTGCACTGTAGTAGAGTAGTGCACCTGGGCAGAGGCCATTTACTTCCACTAGAAGTGTTCATGAAAAAGCACCAGTAATAAGCTGAGTATTTTTCATAACGAGAAATTACCAAGAAATCGACACAAACTTCAACTTGGAGTTGGAGAAGTGACTGAGGTGCAGCCCTAATTTCTACACCTCACAAGTCGGTGTGCTGTGACCTTTTATAGTTTGTGCTCAGGTGATAAAACTATTTAAAATTCTGTCATGTATGGATTATGAATCCAGGCTGTTAGACAGTGTATCTTTAAATGTCATCAACTACTACGCTTGTCTGAAAATTTGCTACGTGGCTGCTTTTTATGGCTGTAACTAACAATTATTTTCACAGTCTCGATTAATTGATTGACTGATTGATTGTTTTGACCATGAAATGTCCGTTTCAAAAAATAGTTTTCCAGAGCCCAAGATGGTGTCCTCAAAAGATTTCATCTTGTTCTCTGGCGTCATGGTTTGGCAATCTGTCTTTAAAGAGGAGGAATTCTCTCTGGTCCAGTCAGCTGACTGGTGAGTCACAGCATAACCTAGCATCCCTGGTCACAGGTCAGTTGCAGCAGATAGCTGGCTGCATTGTAAATGACGACTCGCAACCGTTGAACCGTGAATTTCAGTTTTTTCCTTTCGGTCGAAGGTTCATATAGTCCCCAAAGTGCAGAACAAAATGACAGAAAGAGCTTTGTTCCAGCAGCTATCACTCATATGGATGAGTTATAGTAAGACTGCATAATTTAATTTATTTTTATTTACCTTGTGCACATGGCGTTGTCAGTGCTGTGTGTTAAATGTGCATGTGTAAGATCGATGACTCTTTTTACTGCAAACAAAATTTACCTACAGGTACAAATAAAGTTACCTAACCTAAATGTCTTGTTTTGTCCGATCAACAGCATAAAAATCCAAAGAAGTGCAGTTTTCAATGATACAGAAAAAACATAAAATATTCAAATATGAGAAGCTGCAACCAGCAAATATTTGAATATTTACTGAAAACAGGTGAGTGTAATTGATTCATTTCCTGGTGATCGTTTCAGCTCTACTGTTATCCGTTATCTGTAATGACTGTGTGAAGCTCTCATGAAATTGGCACTTGACCCTCCTGGAAAACAGCATCTCTCTACCGCTGATGTCAGGCTCTGCCAGTGGGTAGAAGTCCAAGTGATAAAAGTCAGAAATGTTTCAACAGGCACGCCTTCCTAAAACCTCTCATAAAATTAAACTTCCTTTCTCTGTGACTAATCGTCCATTATTTTTCCACTTGTGGAAAACAAATACTACATCCCATGATCGAAGTGATTTTCAGCACACCTTTAATGTTCTGTAAATTCAAAATGTTAACTTGCCACTTTTTCAAAAGTCAAATGCAGAATTAAAAAAACAAACTCTGCCTCCCTACAGCTGTCGACAAAAAGCTTCATCTCAGATTCAACATGTGAGTTTTCAGTGTGGTTCTTACGCTGCTGGCAGGGAGGGAGCGGGACTGTGTGGTGGGCCGGCGGCTGGGGTCAGTGTGGGGGCTGAAGCCGGAGTTGGGGTGGTCGGCGAGGGCTGGAAGCTTGTAGGCATCGGGGAGGAGGAGGACCGAAGTGGCTCTTTGGGGCCTGCCGGAGAGAGAGCTCCTCCAGTACTGGACTCAGCACTTACATTCTGTGATGACCACACACACACACACACACACACACACACACACACACACACACACACACACACACACACACACACACACACACAAAGAGGAAGAGATGAAAGTGAAGCAAGTTGTTTCTAGTTTACCCTTCTACTCTACATGAACATTGAAGGAACAGCTCTTAATCCAGAATTTGAAGGTTGGAGTCACCTTCAGGTGATAACCTCATTAGCTACACGTGGTTACCTCTTCAAGAACTAGGAAAAAAACCTTTCAGAGCTTTCAGCTATGGATGCCGTTTTTTTGCCACCGATTCCGATCATCTATGAGTGAGATTGGCCGATACCAATCAACTTTGGCTTGTATTGCAGATGGCGTACGTTCTATCAGTCTCACACACTTTGTAAAAGTTCCACAAGGCCGACATGTTTTGTTTTGGTTGTTTTGGCCTGTCACATGCTGTGCATTGAACAAGGAGGGAGGCGGGACTACACTACACAGCGCTTTTCTCAGCCGCAGACACCAGCGTATTAACCACAGGTGATCAGTGACTAGAGGCATTTATTCACATCCACCCATCCCTAATTTTTCATTTTAACACAGTTTTGTGACTAGTTTCTTAAGGCTACTCACTGATAAGCAAGGGCGATTCTAAAGCAGCTATATACACTGAAATAGGCCCTGTTCAAACCTGGTGTTAACATACATCTCGGGTGATCTGACCACTAGCGGACAGCGATTTCCGTCCACACCTGGCATTAAAATACGTGTCCAGATCTCAATTCCCAGCTTCATACGCAAATAATCACGTATGCATTAATGTCTTCAACCAATCCGATAGACGGGTCTGTTGTCAATGTGTGGGTGTGTGTGACAGAGAGAGAGCAGGGCAAAGTGGAGTTGAGCAAATCGTTGCTCTGCTCACAGCTCTACACTGAAATAAAGTTTTATCCATTTGAAAAATTCAGTGAGTTCATTATGAAACTGTGGCGGGACTAAAAACATCAGTAGAGTAGCTGGTCCTTCAATGTGGCTCAGGATACATTTGCGTTCACACTGCTAAAAGAATGTGGCCACATGTGGACCAGACCTCTGAATATGGTCTGAGTGATCTGGTCTTGGGTGCATTCACACCTGAACTTAGAGCTGACCACTTGTGATCGGATCACTCGAGACAGATGTTATAATACCAGGTCGGAACAGGGCCACAGTTTAAGGAAGGTTTGTTGGGGGTCATACATTCTAGTTGCTTTTTTAAATATCTGTTGGAGGAATTTGTGTAGATAAGAAATTCAAACCTGTAAACCGACCTTTTAATTCCGACCTTTGTGCACCTGTACGTCACATTCATAACAGGAAATATACTAAGTGCATAACAGTTCTTACCCGTTCCTTAGTGGTTCCAACAACTACACTGCTGGCCAGCCGGTTGTCGAACACGTCGTCAGTCTTGAGCTGGCCAGCTGCTCCGGGTAGGGGGGGGAAGCTGGAGAGGCCCAGCTCGAAGCTCGGAGACGGGGGTTTGGGAGGAGGCGGCGGCGACTGAGGTGTCACTCTCTGCGTGACGGCAACAAGCACACAGTCAGCACAAAACTCAGGAGAGCAGGGAGAGAAACAACCTTGCAACACATACACAAAGTCAAACTACTGTACGAGCAACAGTGAGGAGGTGCTAATAGCTTTTACCTCAGCGTGAGGAGAACAGTAAAGAACAACGACTCTACGATGCATAATTACAAGTTTAGTCCTGCTTTCATTGGCTCCTTTACATCAGTCTCTCTATGAAACTTAAAGCTAAATTCAAACCAAGGCTAAATTATTTCAAGATCAAAATAGAATTAGAATGACAAGGACACACACAAAAACATACTTACTGTAAACTTTTCGTCCCTCTTTTTCCTAGAAGCAGAAACATTTTTCCTTTAAGAAAGAGAACATCTCAATTTACAAACATCCACTCTGCCTGAAACAACGACCTAACCTGACAAAGTAAATCATGAGTCTACATACACCACATTCACCACAAGTTAAGAGCATTCACATGATTAAACGGCCTCATGTCTCGGACTGAGGCGAACGTCCACACTGCTACGGTTTCATTTTAAAACAAAAAACGATCGGAAATAATCTCCGCCCGTCATGCATGCCTGTTTACACCAGCATGCACGAGTCTGTGTGAACAGGAAGCTGTTTGTCTACTCTGCAGTTGATTAGTTGCACAGAATACTACAAACAAGGAACAGCAAAGACAGCTGTAGCTTTAAAATGCAGAAATCAACTGCACAACAGCTGCTAACAAAAATAACAAGGTCAGTAACGCTTGTATCTCATTATTCATGTTACTCTCACCACTGGCAGTCGAGGCTGATGAGAGGCAACCAGGGAGTGACCATGGGCCTTTACACCATCATTTCCAAAGGTCTCTGTTTTTGAACCCCAACTAAAACGGGTCTCGCAGCGTTTCTGAAAGTCTCAGTTTTAGGCGCTCGAAAACTCCAGAATAGTATGGACGGGAGTGGTAAACGTAGGAAAAGAGATGAGTTTTAAAATGAAAATGTAGTAGTATGGACGTAACCTGAAGCAGCTCTATTGCTGAATTCGGAGGAGCAGCAAAACTTTATTAATGATGAAGGTACTATGTAAATTGTGTAGTTGTATCCTCAAGTGAGGTAATTGCTGTTTGCTGTTGTACAATGTTTACAACATTTCCTATTAATTTTTATTAGCAACTTTCCCCCTGATCTACATTTGAACCATTTGTCAAATGAAAAGATGTCACCACCCTGATCAACCTCAATCGATTCATCACGTCTGCAGTAGTTTTGCAAGACAAAAAAATTGAGAAATGGGAAGATACGGAACAGAGAAAATAAAAGTTAACACGACTCTTCTAGTTACTAAATGTTTCATTAACTTCTTGAGTGTATCCAAAACTTGCATTTTCTTGACACTTGGGTTGAAGAAACAAACTTTTGAGTATCAGCACAGTTTAGATATAAAGCTGTTTTCATTACTTCAGTGAAACTAAAGCCTTTTGTGCAATAGTTTACAAGCTGAAAGCCAATTTGTACTGACAGTGTGGGTAAAATGGAAGTTTAACAATCACTTACAAGTTCTTAATTCTAGGCCTTACTGCTCTAATTTCTATGACGGATTTTCAAAACTTTCCAGACACGCGTAATCAAGACAGCATGGCACCACTGCTGTGCCACAGCAGCGTTTAATGGCACGTTGTAGTACTTAAGCATTGAAATGGTGTCGTACCTTCCTCGACCGACGCCCAGGGAGTAGTCGGTGGTTGTGGGCTCAGTCACTCGCCCCGTGCCGACGGTGTCCCTACGAGGGAAGGCCGCGGTGGAGGGTAACCTAGTTCTGGGCTGGCTGGTGGGGAGTCGTGTCGGCGGGCTGCTGCGAACCCCGTTGAGCCTCTCGCTGGGGAAGCTGGGGAAGAGGCCCGGGCTGTCCAGGAGCCCCGTACTGCGGTCCGCTGTGGGGATGGTTGGCCTCAAGTGAGGTTTACTGTGATTCCTGCAGGTGAAACAGGTGAAATGCTTTCAGTCAACAAGTGCAATGGGAGGAATGACTCTAAGCAAGAGAGATTTTGCAACTTTACTCATGTTTCTCTTTGTTTTCTCATTTCTGTTAAAACAGATGAACTTTAATGTTTTTTCCTGCTTTTTTCTGGATTACACATCTCTGTGTCACATGTCTGAGAAGTCACAGATACGAACCTGTTCCTGGGCGAGTAGTGTCTGACAGTGAGGGGCGACGTCGCTGGTTTGAAACTGTGTGATGTGGTAAATCCGTTGATGAATTGGTTGTTGTGAAATGGGGCAACCTGGGAAACAGAAAACAGATTCATTAGCCACATTATCAGGAACAAAGGGGACTTAATTGTTTTTGCACCTAATGCTTCTAATTGATATATGTACTTTATTTTTTAAATCTGTTTAGAAGAAGTAACTGGTCTCAAATTTTAAACCTGAACCAGAATTTGTCAAACAACCACTAAATTAAAGAAACAATCATCACAAAGTTTGACAAACTTTAAGACTATAAAAGAGCAGTTCACAAAAGGACACTGCAGATTTCATTGTTTACAAGATTCAACTGCAGATTATGTTTACAAATTTAAATCTACCAGCGGACTCTCACCAGTGTGGGGTCGATGAAGCTGTGTGTGGCCGACCAGGCCTGTGGCGTGATGAGGCTGTATAAGGGGAACTGCTGCTGGGGGCTGTAAACCGGCGGGATGTAGTAGGACGTGTAGCGCTGCTGGGCGTATGGGTTCACCTCCACTGGCCGGTAACCGTTCTTTGGCATGAAAGTGTTGATAGCGATTGCCTTCGCCTTTATCCTCGCCTGGTAGAAAGAGAGTGGGGGGGTCAAATGTTTGCTTTTAGCAGGAAGAAGAAATCAGATTTACCTGACATTTTTACTTTATTCTTTCTTTAAAGAAAAATCTGAATGTTATTTTCTTTTGTGCAAAATTGTGATGGATTTTTACTGTCATCTTGCATTTCGGTCCAAATTTTCGCCTTTAGCAGTTTGATAAATACATCTTCCTCCCTTGGTCCACATCCTTGTTATTAAATATGTATTTCAGCCACTAATTTACTGCTAATCACTTAGTGGAGACTGACAAAGGTTCATCAATGTTTTGACTTAAATTTAAGCAAAAGTTTTGGCAGTAAAGTGCTGGTAGACGGCCATACAGGTCCCATATAAAATTTTGTTTAGTACAGCATGTGTTAAGTGTCTCAGCCAGTGTAACTTGGAAATAGAAGTTAGTTTTGAGCTCTATAACCGAGCAGTAAATGAAAGAAGGAATAAAATCTTTACATTTAAGTGTCCATGGCTGAACATAAAAGACGCAGAATATAAAAGCAGTTCTGCAGAGCCAAGGCTTTTCTCCTGTGGTGTTAATGGGGATTTTCATACATTAGTGGAACGACTCAAAAGTGTGATGTCATGTAACCTCTAAATGAACCTCTTAAGAGAAAAACCTGTGATTTGTGAGTTCTCAGCCCCAAAACCTTGATGCCAGCTTCTTGGTGACACTGATTAATTATTCATAAGGTTCTTCACTGAAGGGAAATTCTACATTTAAGACTTTGCTCAGGAACTGTTGTGCCTGAATTTGGCTTAAAGCGCCTGATTGTGACATACTCCTATAATCACAAAAAAATCAAATAAAAGCATCGGTCACAGACAGGTGCATGGCAGAACTGGTGAAATGAATAAAAAGAAGACAGAGCCTTAGGAGGGCTGATCCGTGTCTTGAGGTTTTACAGCACAAATAAGCGACATAGGGAAATTAACATGAATGCTGTATCTCACGTACAGACAAACAGTATGGTTGATACAAACATGAATGGTATACTGTATGTATGTCTAGTAAATATTTTGTCGATGTAAAATTTAAAAGATCAACTCTAATACACGTTTTTTCAGATTGTCCTGCATTAATCAGTCAGTGTGTGTTTGTCCATGCAACCCACCTTAATTGGCTTCCCTTGGAAGGTCTTCACCTCCTCACGCAGATACTGATATGCCTTCATCAAAAGGAAGAGCACAGCACAAGTAACAATTAGATTTCAATTATTTAACATTCAAGCACTAGATGACTCTTCAAGTTTATTTCTCTCTTCTATTTATCAAAGCCTCAAAGATCATTGAGGTTTTCCTCATTTGCATTTTTATGACATTGTATGTGTGTGTATCATTATTAATATAATATAGAGATAAGTTATATATATTATATACACAGCATACACATACACATATATATACAGTATATATATATCCTGACTATTCTCTATATATTATAACCATTTTTGACAGATCAGGATTATTTAGTGTAGTGGTTCTCAAACTTTTTCACACCAAGGACACAGATTAGATCACTAACCCACAACTGATGAGATTTTTGCATTTAGATGTTTTATTAAAGGAAGTGTGCTGGAACCCCATGAACAAAATAGTCATAAATTTTGTCACTGTTTAACTTATGGATGGAATTATAGTGAAAATAAATTATTCTCCTTTTTTGCTGGGAACCCCCCACTTTGACAACCACCGATTTAGTGTATTACTAACAGCACAATCAAAGTGGGAAATTGCTGGAAAACCAAAACATACAGTTCTTCAGTAGGGAAAGATTTTTGTAAGAAAAAAGACTGAGGCAAGATAAGAAATGGGCAGAGACAGATAGCGATAAAAATTAATAAAATGTTAACTTTGTTGTTACCTGCTGTGCATCTGCTTCTGATTCAAAGGTGATGAACCAGTTGTCGTTGTAGGCAAATTCACAGTTGATGAACTTGGGTAAGTTGTCCCCTTTAAAAAGAGCCTCGACCTCCTGTAGCAAGAGGAGAGGAGGTCATCGCATTGAGTTTGTTTTATTGGTGACACAAATTAAAGTTAAACCTGACAAATTAAGTATCGACTCATACAGAATAAAGTATCATCTCCATCAGTTTGACTTAAAACAGTTAAAATCTTTCCTTATTTTTCATTTTGTGAGAGAGCAAATGATCCAAGTGATTTAACTGCTTATGTGTTAAACATTAAAGTTTGTGTAAGACTTTAGGAGTGAGGAATCCTATAACAAATAAACTATAATTTTATAGTTTTGCAGGTCTAGAAAGTAAAAACATTTACTACAGGACAGAAGCTAACACTGACTTTTCATGTGATGTTAGCTCGCCACACCTAATAAACATCTGTGTCAAAACAAAAAAGTGACAACTCAAACCACAACTGCTCTGGAAACATGACACCAAGATGCAGCCATGCGGTTAAAGTGAGTTGTATTTTATAAGCTTGGTTGCTCCATGAACTCATTTATCTGGCAAGAAGAAACTTCATGTCGGAGTCATGTTGTAAATAACTCAGTCGACTCCAAATAGTTCATGTGGCTGATAAATTCAAGTATGTGCCAGATACTGTTATTGGTGCACAGTATGTAAATAAATAAATATTAATAAAGTCGGCTGTGGCCTCATCACTGATTCTAAATAAAGCTGTCAGACTCAACTGCCAGGCTTTTATTTTGAAGATCACGCGGTACAAACATGAAGTTAGCAACCTCTATGGAAAGGAAACGCTCAAATAAACAAGCATTGTATTTTTGTTTCTTTAATACTAAAATGATGAGATACAAAAAAAAAAATTTTTTTGTTGTTGTTGTGCACCTACTGCAGACCTGATAATGCCCTGCTGTGGTAACCCACTTCAAGCCTGAGTCAGTCGAAGTCAAAGTGTTCTGTCATGCTGAGGCAGATAAGTGTTACTGATATCACGAGCATTCAGCAAATATTCTGCAGCCACTGCTCGACTGCACAGGATTTTTTGGCGCCATGAAAAAAGAGACTGAGTAACATTAACCACTTTCTAAACTGACTTTGAGGTCTGAATGTGTTGTCATATGTTATCCAACTGATTCTATCATACAGACTGAGACACCAATTAACTGGTTTCAATGTTCCTACAATAATGGAAGGTACTGATATTAACTAAATATGGTAAATGGTAAACTGCCTTTTCTCACTCTCACTGCTTTTTCTACCACACACACACTCACTCGACTCTGTATTTGCACTATGGCAACGAGACAATCATTAATCGTTTGATAAAGATGTTGATCAGTTGTTTGACTCTCCCAGGTCTGATTATTCCATGGATACTAACACATGAGCATAACTTGTGTCATACATCGGGGGACAGTACGGGGTTCAGCATGTTGCCCCACATGTGCACTGGAAGAGACGGCAATCGAACCACGACCTTCCGATGAGTAGACCACCCGCTCTCATCAATAATAAAAAGTTCTCTTAATTATGTTTTTGAATTCAGTAATCATTAAACTGCATATGAGGGTGCTTTAAAACCTGAGAATAAACGTGAATAAAAGACTTACCAAGAAATGTGAATTGACCATGAAGGCTAATTATTTTCGGTACCTTCAGTCCACAGTTCTGCTTATGTGCATGACTCAGGGAATAATCAGACATCATGGCTTTGCTGACTCATGCTGGAGAGCTGCTGGGAGAGTCAAACAACTGACCAACGTCTTGTAGAAAATAAAGCGTTGTGTGCATACACCAACCTCTATGGGCGTGCTCTCAGGAACCTCTCTGAGGATCACGATGCAGCGGTTCTGATTGGGTCGCACCTTCTCCCCCTTCTCATCCACCTGGACCAATGGCAGAGCTGGAGGAAGCCAGATAATAACAATTAACAAAAAAAAGCCCTGGAGACATCCTCATTTCTGTTACAGAGTGAAGCATTCACAGGAATCACTCCTTAAATGTCTCTTAAACTACAAACTGTTAATGAGTGTTAACCTTAGATGCCTTAAAGTTAGTTTGTTTACAGTATCTCATCCAATTTCATATATAAAATCTTGACACTGCACACATCACTGAGCCATAAACTAAAAGTGCAGTTTGCAGCCAGGAAGGATTAATTTAAGTGGCAGTAAATTTAGTATGTGTATAAATCAAAGACAAGCAGGTGAGGTTCTGCTGGATGCACTTTAACAACCTCTCCTGGGAAATCAACCCCAGTCATAAGCTGATAAAAATTCACTGTGCCTGGTAAGTTTGTCTTGTCCTACAGACTCTTTAGCATCAAAGTCCTGCTTTTTAGTAATGAAATCATGAAGTGGCTGATAAACAGTCACAACTGAATCAAATTCTGACTGGCTCTTGCTCGACACATTAGCTCACATCGTAAAATGTCCACGATCAGCTCCACGTCAGTGCTGAGCTTTTTGACATGGTCCAGGTTGGCAACTGTCACAATTGGCACGTATTGGTCACTGTCCATCTGGGAGATGAGGTACATGTCACTGGCCAGATTCTCCCTGCGAGACAAAAGAGGAGGGAGTGGTGATTGGTGACACTTCAGATAACAGATCAGATAACAGGAGCCGCCCTTGTGACCATGTGGTGGTAAAATCCAACTTTTATTTACTCAGATAACGTTGAATGCACTTGTGTGATTACCAAACAGAGTCACACCTGTCCTCACCTGACAGAGGCCACATTAAACTACACTCTAGATCTAATGAACAATCATCCACAGCTGCTGCACTCTCAGCTGATTTACTTATGCAACTGTGAGCTAAACGGTTTTTCTGAAAGGAAATGCAGCATTGGGTGTTTCTCTGACGTCGCTGCCCTTATGTGGTTTTTTTGGTTTTATTACTCCTACTGCAGGTTTGACAGTAAACTACACTCGGTGACATTTCCAAGTTGATAAACAAGAGAAAGACGGAAAGCAGCTAAACCACCACCACCGCAGAGGCATTCAACAGCATGAAATAAGGCTTCCATTCAGACCACGCCTGACGCCCACAGGGTGGGATGGGGAGTGGAGTTTGGGGGGTACTGGCAGCACAAACTTCTAATTACTGACAGATGTATTATCATTATTATTGGTTTATTTGTGTATTAGTTTCTCAATCAATTGTAGAAAATAAAATAACATAAGGTACTTTTTTCAAAATCCCAAACTGATGTAAAATTAAAGCAAATTAAATTGCTTGTTGTGTCTGAACAAAACTCCAAAACATAAAAGTATTTAGTTTACTGTCATATAAGAAAAAAAGCCAGAAAATCCTCATTTGTCATATTTGCTTAGTTAAGGGTTAATTAGCTGCCTCCATCTCTTCTACAGATTATGGCACTTTGAGGTTTAGTTTTCTAACAACCAAACTTATCAAACACAGCTCATGAAATGACCAGTTTACAGTGTAGCAGGGGTTTTGAGCTCCATCTCCCATTTGTTTATATGAAATAAATATCAAAGGGCAGCATCATCTCCTCTAACAAACTTTATAATCCACTGATATATGTAATCGGAATTTATGACTTATGACTTATTATAATTTTATTTTTACTATTTTCTTTCTCTTCTCTATTTTTTTCTTGTTGTTTGTTCCTATTTTGCAATTGTTTTATCAATTGCAATTTATTTTTTTATATCATTATTTTTTGTTCTGTAATTTTTTTTCACTTTGCATGCTTGTAGATGGAGCTGGGATATACTAGGACAGTTCACTTACTACATTATGTTTTGTTGCTGCAGTAATATCCAATTTTGTGTTGTTACTTTCCTTCCTTTATGCAATTAATAAAAAAGGAATAGATGGAAATAAACTGACTGGGTGTTAATATGGTCAATGTTTAAGTATTTATGTCTAAAGTCAAATTTGGACCCTGAGACTAGACCAGTTGGGAACCACTGCTGTAACAAGACATTACGCTGGCATCTTCACGTACGGTCCACACAGTCATACACTCTGAGCCTTATGCAGACGCAGGCCCTTGAAGACGACACATGGACCACTGTGGACCACAGTAGACCCTTGAGGCTACGCTGACACAGAGAAGCATCATTTGAGCCCAACAGAAATGCAGCATTTTGCTGCTGATGACAACCAGGATCAATAGTAAAACCAGAGAGTGGATTCCCCTGAGTCAGTCTTTCTTTTCTGGTCTTTAATGATCACTTAAGAGCAGCCATTTCTTCTTACTGCGGCTCAATTTAAGTGCTTTTCTCCATTAACAAGTGTGAAACAGCTGCTGAGCAACGGGAGAAATGGATGAGACTGAGATTTTAGCATGGTTAGCTTGTTGGTGTTGTCCATTAAAGGAAATTTCTGGACAATGTGAGGTTCAGTAGATTATCTTTTTCCCTTCCTTCCTTCCTGTGTCACATTGTAGGGAAAATGCTTATTTTAATGCTTACTACTCATGCAGACCTAGTCATAGTCATGTCAAAATGCACCTTGTATCTCACTGTGATGTAACTGTGATGGAGTAAAATATTCGAGGTAAACTCACCGAGAAAGACAGAACTCCAGGGTCTTCTTCAGGTGCTCCCTCAAGCCCTCCTGGGGATTCTCAGGCTGGGGATCACTGCCTGTTGACACACAAGGGGAATTATCTTTGTAAATTAAAGCACAATTGAACTAATCCCTGAACCTGGGAGCAAAGCATTGTTCAGGCCGATGAAATGTGAGATTGAGTGAATAAAATAAAACTGAAACTGAAGCAGGATGTGGGTCGGAAGGAGCAGAGATGCTGAGCAAACACACATTACTTAAATAAATAAATATGAGGAAAAAAATGCTTTACTCGTATTTATATTGCATTATGCTTGTTAGTAGTTCAACAAAAACTCAACCAGTGTCATTTCACTCTGAATCATCAAGGGAAAGTTGTCTATAAAATACAGGCTACCATGTTCACCAGGAAGCTTTGGAAATAAATCAATCAATGGGGAGACAATCTTGGAAATCAATCCTGGGGCTTTAAAGTGGATAAAAACATTAAATATTAGACGAATTTAGGCATCTTCTCTTCTTCTCCACCATACTAGTTGAATCTGTTGCAATTCACTTGCCAGCCTCCACAGACAATCAGAGCTCCGGTTAATCTGCAGATCCCCTGGAGTTGATTATTAGAGGAGCAGAAACAACCTGAGACACATACATGTGAAGTGTTTTATAATATTTCTCAAAGCACTAGCCTTCGCTTCAGCATTGTTGTTGTTTATGTTGACTTTCCTTTCAGGCGGACGGGCATAGATCGATGAAACTTTATAAATAAAGCATAAAACAACAAATAGCTCTTCAGCAGTCACTGTACGACTCCACACAATAAACTCTGCCTCTTGAGGCTGAGCACGGCTTTTAACATCCTGAAGCAAAATTTACTACAATCACTAAGATTTAAAAAGTAAAATTAACATTGCATCACTCTGAGGAGTTTCACTACTCAGTAACTTTAACTGATTATTCATTTAACCATCAGAATCAACCATTCATCTAGTCGACCAGAACAAGCTGATAGTCTGTCACAGCACAGACCACTTTGACAACCAATAATTACTCAACTGCTTAATTTAGTTGCACTTCTAAATCCCACCTGCCTGTCTCCCTAACAGTAAACGAACCATGTTTAAAGTGGAAAAACAGGAAGAAACGCAGGAAAAAATATCCTATGTTTATTTTACTGAAAACCTAAACAACTGGATTTAACCACTGTCATCGAGGGCCAAGACCCTCCAAGCACTACAGCAGGTCACATCACTAATTAGGTTGTCGGTGTCTGCTTTAGGGGGCCACGCACGCATTGATCTGCAACCAGCCCACAACCTGCTCTTACAAACAACCAATCACTAACCAGCCCACCTGTGTGCCCAGGCTGCCCAGGCTCCGGGTATTCTGTATAGGCTGGCTCGGCGCACTCCAGGGCGACAGAGGCCACGGGGGCCGGCTCGGCCAGCATTACTGGTACCGGTGGAGGCTCATCTGGGTCGGTTAGTAGGGGCTCCTTGTAAGCCTTGTCTTCACTGGCTTCATAGCCTGTGACAATTAACAAGGGAAGGTATAATAATTATTAAAAGGTGTGAGGGTAGGGAATTTCACTAGCCATTTAAGCTGAAAGTGGTGCCTTTTAAAAGGACAAAGTGCCTCATATTTGAGCCCCGTCTCTAATTACCAAAGATAAACCTGATTTATCTAAGGCCTCTGGCCGACATGTATGTGTGTTTGTCCCTTTTTTCTACTTTGTCTACAAGATGTTAGGACCAATGAGTTTGTTCTAAGCGTCTCTGTAGACAGACAAGACATCGTCTGCAAAAACAAGTAAAGGTTGGGTAAAAAAAAACAAAACACTGATGACCAGTAGGATTACCTTTACTAAAATGGCTGAAATGATAAATTCATACAAGCTATGATCACAAATATGCTGCTCTGTTAGTGAAATAAAAAACTGAAATATCGTTTTTATTTAACTTATAATTGCATAAATGTATTTTTATTTTTTTCAAGATTAAGCTACTGTCAATGAAACTCAACACTTCCTGCCACATGTTTCACATCAAAAGTCTACCAAAAAAGGAGGTAATTCAATTCTTTTAGCTACTTGAAGGTGTTTAGTGTGAAACATCTGTGAGGAAAGTTCTGGATTTCACTGCTAGTAGCTTAACAACATAAAAAAACAGTTGAAGTGACTAGAAATGAACAACTGTGTTGTGGTGAATATGACATGACCAGGTTGTTATAGAATAGACATGACATTGATGGAGGAAGGGTTGAGTTTGCAGCTAAAGGCACCAACAGCAAATGAAAACATGAACAGATCTGAAAACAGGGAAATGTCTCAGTGAAACATGATAAACTTTACTTATAAAACAGGGAAAATTAAAAACAAAACTTACCAGGGGCCGGTTGCACAAAAGAACAAGTTAAGATTTTCCTTACAGTCTGAGTTATGGTTTGCTTAACATAAAAACAGTTGCACAAAATACCCTTAAATTTTCTCTTTAAGGTTTCCTTACAATGGTTAGGTAAGTATTTAAGGTTTTCTCCTTATCTTAGATTTAAATTTCAGGAATCACTTAAACCTTATAGCAACCAAACTTCACCATGGTGAAGTTCCCGTCAGAACAACAGCAGGATGAGATAGTGGCGCCTTCTTTAATGTTACCTGCTTCCCAAAAGTGATAACAGGTATTACAAGTGCTAATGGCACCAAATCAATAGTCTCCATGGAAACAGTACAATTTTACTGCTGTTAAATCTCTTTCATTGCTGTTAATAACTTAACTTTTTTTCCTTAACTAAGAGACCTTTTAAGCGATTCTGTGCAACACCCCTTAAGTAACTCCCTCAGCTAAGGAGAAATTAAACCTTAAGTGTCATACTTTAGTACAAAACCTAAGGTGTTTTGTGCAACCGGCCCCTGCTCTGCAAGTGTCTCTGTGGCGTCCAAGCTACACATCCAGTCATACTTTCACTAACCCTAACCCATTCAACATTTACTCTAAACATTACAGACAACTTTTCATGTGTTGTAGAGAAAATTACCTAAATTGTCCACAATGTAGCATCGCTTTCTAAAGAGCAATACAAATAAGGACTACAAAGTAAAAAAACTGACATTTAATTGAGCCTATACATTTAAAGCCTGTTTACCAGACACAGATTAGGACTAATCCTAAAAGAGGGAGGCATTTAAGGAAGAAATTGCAATGTGAAACTGAATGTCATCTACATACAACATAGTGCTTATATTATTTTCCTTTCAATTTATTAAATATTTAATTTACTGACTAGACTTTTAAAGATTCTGGTAAAAGATTCCAGGTGGTTGTGAACTGAGAGCACTGGAAGTTAGGATTAAGATAACTCCCCTCTACATCAGTCAGATAACCATCCAGAAAATAGTTTTTCGTAAAAATGTATTAAAAATGCTGAATATTTAACCAAGTGAGTAGTCTAATTAGGAGACAATTTCAAAGTCGTTTGCACATGGATGGGACAGACATTATGGTGCAAGTAGCTTCGATTTCAAATGTGTGAATTAAATCCATAACTCCTTCATGGTGCTGAGCAGTAAACACTCACCTTAATAACACTGTACACACTGATAGATAAACATAAAACTCCATCGACAGTCTGTAGTGGTGGAAAAAGGCCACTACATGAATGGTTCAACTATATAAAGTCACCAATGTTCTGCAATAAATTTTCATAAATGCCCTCGCAGACGCAGAAGACGAAACAGGCCGGGACGTCAATCAGAGTCAAATGCAGACTAATCAATAATTTCTGTTTCGCCACCATATCCGTGTTGCCTCTGTATCGGCTATACTTGGCTAGGCACATTAAAGTGAGTAATTATGGTCATTTGTGTAGAGGGAATGGTGACTGTGGTTGGAATATTCATAGCTCATACTAAATTGAGTATGAATGATTAAAGAGGTGTCTTGGCATGAAGAGAAAAGTGACAAGAATAGACAAAGGCGGGCTGCGAAGCAAAATTAGGGTTTTTGAGTCCAACTGTTTTTTTTGTTGTTTTTTTTCAGCAAGCCAACATTAGTTGTCGCTACTGGATTATTACAGATATATTTAATCTGGTATATATGTTGGCAGATGAGCAAAAAATTGGCTGCATGCTAACACTTCACTCCTCTTAACGCCTCAACTCCATCTGACTCTTCAACTTCAAATGACCCATCTATTCTGTACAGTCTGGAAATTAAAAAGAACAAGTTAACTACCTGCAGTTTTTAAGTCTAACTGCCACTTCGACTCCTTTCAGTATTTTAACTTACACCAACACCACAACTTCTTAACTACAACTGCCACTTCAGCTCCTTACGTGCTTCAACCACGCCTGTGGTCTCATACCACTCATACCACTATAACTCTTCAGAATTAACTTTATTTCAACACTTTAACTCCTTTCAGTGCATACACTCCACCTGACCCTTAAGTGTTTCATATCAAACTGACAGTGTAATTACCTTCAGTATTTGAAATCCAACGGACAGCTCAACTCATTTTAGTAATTCAACTACAGTTCACACTTCAGTTCCTTTTAGTACTACAAATTTGACTGAAATTGGAACTCCTTTCAGTGTTTCAGCTACCACTGACACTGCAACTTCTTGAAGTTCTTAGACTTCTTTTTCCAGTGTTTAAATACATTATCTTAATTAAATGTGATGGCATATAGTATATTTTGCACATCTACAAATTGGAATTGCAATACATGAGTTATAGGGTGTATCTTAACACTTCAGCTCCCTTCAGTACCTACACTACACTACACCACTTTTTTGGCACTGATTTGGCACTATACGAATAAAATAAAACTGAATTCACTTAGTACTTTTATATGGATTTACATTGAGTTTAATTTGCTATAAAAGGCAAAAAAAACTTTGAAAGTATATAAGTGGTCAACATATTTTGTATCCCAAACGGTTGGCTGACCTTCTGGGCCGGGGTCGGCCGAACTATCGCAGCCTTCCTTCCATGGCTGCAGGGCAGCAGTTGTGGTGTCTGCACTCCCGCTGGGGTCCAGGCTAAACATGTGGTTGGCCCATGCTTTCGCATTGGGGTTGAGGTCTGAAACCTTGGCGGATTCCTGTGAATGGAACACATAATCTGGTCAGAGATGAAAATTTAAGATGAGTGTATCTGCACTTCAAAAGGAAGTTATAGTAAAAACAAAAGCAACAGATATTTATCAACTCATTGTATTTAAGTCATTAATGTTATTCTGAGTCATGATTAAAAAAAATGTGCTAAGTATAAATAAATAAAAAGATTATGACTCAAATTATTCATAGCCGTTTGTTAATTACTAGTAATTATATTACTGAAAGGTGAAATATTAATTCACAAATTCTCATACTGAACATTTTAACCTGTCAGTGCATTAAAAAAAAAAACATTACCATACAAATCATGAGGAAAATACACAAGAGCTAGGTTAAAATCAAGTAACAAGACAAAGAGCACAGACACAAAAACAACAGAATGTGTATAAAAACAAGATTGTCGCTGACTGAAGACATTAAGTTTAGCATTCTACTTTAAATATTTGAGCCTCTGATGGACCTAGTACAGATAAAACAGGTTATATTCAAGTCCATGATGCTTTTATATTTTGCCACTGACAAAAGTGTCAGTTTTATATTTAGACATAAATTCATAGTGACTGTAGAAGTTATTCTGAAATGTTATTATTCCCACATATTGTTTTTAAGCAATTTGGTTTTAAATTAGTTTTTAGTTAACCTTTGTCATATCCTAAAAAAAGTAATGTCCTTCATAACACTTTTATAAATGAAATACATTTTGCTTAAAAGTAGTATTTGCTTATTTGACAATACAGCCTGTTAAAATTGGTGACAAAGTGTTTGCAGATGAGCCACGAAACCAGATAGTAGCATGATGTGACATATTTTAACAGCAGAGAAACTTCTCGCAGAACCACACTTAAATGACAGTTTTGTGACCGACACCATCTCCAGGGAAAAACCGTTATTGCAAAATCTTCTACAACAAAACTTAAAGTTTAAATTGTCAACCTAAGTAAATTTCCTCTCTGCCAAGAAAACTGTCAAATACAGCGGAGAAATGACATCTGAATAACAGTTTCACTTTAAATGAATCATTGCAGGAGTACATGAGGTTACTATTTATCACTGTTTTAATCACTTTATGTTTTTTTACTGAACAAAACCGGGCACTGTTCCCACGGACTGAGCAGCAGAAATTTGTAACCAGGTTGAATGGGAAGACTTATTTTACCTAATCATCATGATTCACAAATTTGATTGAATCTTCTGACACTCATCAATCATGTCGTACAACTCAAGCCTCATCTGCCAACGAGACTCTTCAGTCCAACAACATGTGACAGGAGCTGAGATACTGGTACAATCTGACAGGGGCCAGGCCCACACAGCCCTGCTGCCAGCTGGACATACTCACAGGATCAAAGCAGCAGTTCAGCATGCATGTCTCACAGGCTAACAGACTGTAACCCAGAGCCGTAGTCAGAGCCAGAGTTTCATTGAAGTCCTGAGGCATAGCGGGCCAGGCGCTTCCTGTTGGTGCTGGTATCAGGCTCCACTGCATCCAATCCATGATTAACATACATAAACAGAGACTAAATATTTCCACAGGCAGACAGAGGAAGACTCCGGAGCAACATTGTACACCTTACGCCATTAGCCTGGCTCCTTCAAGTGAAGCCCCCACCACCACAACTCTAAGTCATCCCCATCAAATCACAGCCACGCTCTGTCTGGCCCCTCCGATCCGAGCTGCTGGGTTGATTCAACAAATCTGATGACAGCACTGAGGCTCAGCCGCCCTGGTGGGCTAGGCTGACGTTGCACAAGCTGACTGGCTGTCTCGCTCCTGTTAAGCATCCGTCTCTGCTTTTGCTTTGTCGCTGTTGCACTGAGTCATTCTCCGGCAAAACACTGGAGCTGTAGAGGGAGCATTGAGTTGCACACCTGAGCTCAAGCGCAGCCTGCTCCAGTGATCCACGTGTTAAATTAACCCTGAGGCATCGCTCAAATTAAAATCAACCCTCTTGGGCCTTGGTTTTAATACATTATTGTGCTAACGAGCCGAGTTGCTGAGAAAAAACCTGCTTCTTATTCAAGACGCAGCAAGTTGAAAGAAAAAGAATCAGTAGCAGAAACCAACGAAAACAGATTAAAGGAAGGAGAGTTAAGGAACGAGGAAAGAGAAAGACAAGCCTGACTTGATACAAGATTACCAGCAAGAGACAGCGTTCCTGGGTCGTATTTCACAAATGCTGCACTACAAGATCATTCGGGATGTGTCTGGCCAGACAGACACACACCCCCGCCTGTGCTAATAATCCAGCCTTGCACTAATGTAAAACTCCCACTCCTGTCCGAGCTGGCTGCCATAGAAACTGTGGCTGACATCAACGGATGTGTACGTTGTGGGCACCGCTTGACCTTTCAAAATTTTAAAATGTTCCCTTCCTTCACAGAGGAGGGAAAGGTTAGCTGCTTCCCTGATTGAGGGTGTATTTTGGGAGGAGACGAGAGGATGTGATTCATCATGGACCGTGGACAGAGACGAGTTATTGTTGGTGTCACTGGAGGGCAGCAGGCGTAGCGCTGGGTTTTATTGCTGTGCCTCTCTGATGGAGGCGAGTTCGCAGCGGCAGACAGAAAAACAGAGACAGCAGACATGGAAGAGTCCTTCAGGGGAGAAAACAAAAACAGCTGAATTTGGACTTATCTGTCTGTCTGCAGACCTGAGGCTCATCCTCCCTCTTTGACAGCTACAGAGGTGGAGGAGACAGTGGGCCAGGAAAAGAGGAGTGCTGAGCACTCAAGAGTCAAATTCATCACTACTATCACATTAACTACTGTAAAATGCTTCATCCTGACCAACCATTACTACACAGGTGGGTTGATATGACAGCAGCAGAACAAATTCAAGGTAATGAAGCATTTCCAATTCAGTTTTCACCATGTACGATAGCATTTAAACCTAGTCTTTCATTTTGGTGATGTATTCAGAGTTTCAAAGTTTGCGCTTACACAGGACTAATCAACGCTGAAGGCAGAATTCAGAGTTGGGATGTGAGATCTTTCTACTTAGCTCGCTACCGATCTACCATCCTGAAAAAAAGCAATGGGAAAAATGGCCACAAAATTAGCAGCCATCATTTTTTAGATTGAAACAAACCTACACATTGTTGAAAGTCAACGTGCAGAAACAATGTAAGTTAACTTCTTGTAACTACTGCAACTTTGAGATTGACTAAAGATGACATCAGTGAGACAGATTCGTCCCTCACCACCAACTGGGTACAGCAGGAGGAAAACAAACTAACCCTCCTTTGCCAAATAAAAATCGCCTAACACAAACACAAGATCAGGCTGAATGAATGAAGTGCAATTCAATCAGTTATCAGGCTCCTGGAGCTGGGTAATGATTTATTGTTCATCGACTTTCTGTAAAATCATATTATGATATGTTATCCTCTTACAATATTCAGATGTTTTAATTAATGTTTATAGAGAAATTGTATAATGTGTTTTTCGTTTTAAATCCTGATTAGTTTTGTATGATATAATCAATTAAAGTTAAAAGGTCCCATATAGTCTAAAGGTAGATGTCCATGTGTTGTTTGATTATAGATCAGGTCTAGGTTCTATATTAATACTGTGAAAGTATCAAAGCCTCAGTCCACAGAGAAATGCTCACAGCCTGTATTCAGAAACTGAGCCTTAAAACCAGCCATCAGGACGTCTGGAAATTTGTGATGTCACAACAAAGCAGTCACCACTCTCAGCCATGCCCCAAGCCCCGCTCACCCGGACCCACCATCCAACCTTGCAGGATTTGGTTTCTCTGAGTGTGAACCTGAATCTGCTATATTTTTATTGGATCACTCAGAAAACAGTCGGCCAATCAGAAGACAGACTCAGAGTCTCCTCTCTTCTGATTGGCTCACCAACCAGTTGTTACTACAGCTCCAGAGAGAAGCCTGAGATAGGAGATGTAAAACTACATTGACATGGTTTTTGGTTCTTATGGATCAACACTTAAAAGAAAACACTGGAAAAGAAGAAAATATGGACCTTTAAAACAGTTCCCTTTACTAGACACCTCTTAGTGTGTTAGCACAAACTTAAAAATGCTTCACATTTTTAAGATAAAAACCTATAACCTATAATAAACTTAGCCGTAGGGACCTAGTCTGACTCCCAAATCTGCAAATCTTTCACACAATCTGTGCAATAAATGATTAAATTAATGTGTTATGTGAAGTTGCAAATACTGTGCAATAATTAATCAAATCGCTAAATATCAGTCTGATATAAGCAGCTGCAAGGACGGAAGCTGAATTATTTTTAAGTGAACAACCAACATCTTTTGAGTATTTAAGTCACCTCTTGTTGACAGTATGACCACTGAAATGAATGAAACTCAGCATTTAGTTTCTGCCCCCCCCCATATTTTTAATTACTCCAATCATAAACAACTCAGTTTTAAGCCTACAGATGCCCTTTAAGTAAACTGTGGCTCGGCTGTCACAGCAACATTCCCACATGAGATGAGGATCTGATCCCAGTTGGAGTCCATTCTTTTCAGATTTTGTCCGGAACTGATTTGATTTTACACACAGGCCTATAAATAGTTCATGTTCAATTTCTGATCTGTTTCTAACACATATGTGCAAGGCATATGGTGTATCACTCGGTCTCTATCTGTGTATGCATGTGCGTGAATAAGGGATGAAGTGGAAAACACAAGGGTTTGGTAGCACCACATGGCTTGTGTTACTATGGCACCAGTTTGATTTGGGGCTAAATTACATCTTAATTGCTTAGATGAAAGAAGTAGATTTCTATACATAAAATTAAATTAACTGAATAATTACTATTAAAACATTATTTTAGCATTCCTATTTTAAAGTGATCTTAGTTAAATGAAATATTTTAATATCCCCAAGTTATATGCTCCATAACAGTTGTGCAATGTTAATCATTTTCTACAGTGATGCAGAATAAGTGTGCAGCCTTAGCAACAGGCTCTTTTATCTAAATCCTGAGCAAATAATTATAATTTTTAGGT